GAATAAAATAGCAAAATTTGAAGTTATTGTACTTGTGGTACTTCGTTTGGACAGATTTCAACAGACTTGCTTGTGGAGAATAATACGGTATCAACGGAACTAATGTGGATTGCAGAAGGGCCTAACAAGGATGTACCCACTTTCAGTGGGTATAAAATCAATGGTGTGACCTACAGCACCAAAGAACGTGATGATATGCGTCAAGTTCAGTGTAGTGGTGTTTGTGTAGAAGCTCAAACAATGCTCGTAGTTGGTAAGGAAAAAAACATCCAGCATGGTACACACACATTTTACGGTGTTATCGTAGAAATTTGGGAGTTAGACTACAACCATTTTAGGGTTCCCATCTTTCGTTGTAAATGGGTAGATATGAATAGAGGGGTTAAGGTAGATGATTTGGGATACACTGTGGTTAGTTTGAACAAATTAGGTTTTCAGAATGACCCATTTGTGTTGAGGAAACACGTCATGCAAGTATGTTACATTGATGATCCTCTTGAGAAACTATGGTCAGTTGTCCTAAGATTACCTGAGAAAAACTATATGGACATTGATGAAGATAGTGAGGGGTCTGTTGAATTAGAACTCGAGGAGGAGTTGGATGTGAGATTGTTACCACCCAACCACGCAATAAATGAAGGTAACAGTAATTACATGAGAGAAGAAGATGAATTGATTGTGTTGGCATAAGTTTTGTTAACCGTTAAGTGGGCCAATTTTTGTATTTTGCTCTGCCAGAGGGTGTATTTTAGGTGGATGTTGGGTGCAGTTTTTTGTCATGATCTGCACTTCATGTCTCTTGGAGAGTCCTAGCCCTCCTGTACCTGTATTTCGCTGGTACTGTGTGTTATGTCACTCTGTATTGTGTTTTGCTTTCTGTGTGGAATCATACCGGCTGTTTTGGGATGGTAAGGGCCTTGTGTTTCAAGCAATTGATTTATACTTCCAGGTAAATTAATTTTGTGTTTTCCTACATTTTGGGGTTTATGGCTGCCCTTTGGGTTTTATTCTTTGTTTTATTATATAAAATGTTGTACTGTCAAGGTTTAGTTTGTTGGTTTTCATGATGTGCAGTTCATGTCGATATGCTAGCAGTGCTTGTCCTCCTGTATATTGATGTTGTTGTGTCTTAAGTTGTGTCCTCCTGATGGATACGTTGGGCCATAGTTTTTTTGCTTTTTGGGTATAACAATAATGCTGTTCACTTGGTGGCTTTTCCCAAGGTTTGTACTGTCAAGTTTTGTTGGTGTGTTTTTCCATTTTGGTTTCTGCTCTAAGGTGTGTATGATTACTTTTAGAATGGATGATTGAAGGATGAACCTGCTTCAAGGATATTAACGGAATGCTTGAAGGATGAAGCTTGAGGGATATCCATGTTGGTGAGTCATTTCCTAACTTCAAGGATATGTACTATTTCTTGGATACTTGTTGGTCATTGCCTTTATTTGCATTTACCACTATTAAAAAGAACCAACTTTTGGCCTATAACAGATCATGTTTTGGAGGCATCGTCATGAAAAATTGCAGCACCAAAGCAGTTTCTTGAGCAAAAAAGTTGTTCTCTGGTTGTCGCACTCCATTCCTCAGTAAACCTTGGGTCATACATTCTATTTGCATCTCGCCATCTTCTAATTGTTTTTTTGTTTTATGATGTGAGATTGATGGATTGTATGGGTTCCCAATTCCCTTTGTGTGTAGTGGGAAAGTACCCAGCCTGTCCATGTACAAATTATTTCGTTTGAAT